CCCAAGGTGTTTCAAAATAATAGCTCTCAATACATATGAATGCAAGCTATATGCGCTAGTCTCTCCTAGAAATGCAAGTGATGCAACCTACATGATTTTTTTGGGTTTTCAAATTTTTCAATTTTTTTGGTTTTTCTATGCATATATGTATTGAAAATGCAATGCATGAGTCTTAAAATCATCAAAGAAAACATGATTAAACACTTGGTACCTCCCCCAAACTTAAGTCACACAGTCTCTGTGTTGTTAAGTAGAGAGAGATACCCAAAAGAAAGACTAATATGCAAAGAAAAACTGGTATATACAATGGAAGGTGATAGAATACCTGCTGGTGGGATTGTGTAGAGGGAGATTCTCACTCCTCGTCGTCCTCAGGTGGTAGCTCTTCAAGGTGCTCATCAGCAGGAGTGCTCTTCTCCTCAATGGTGAAGGCTTGCCCGAAGACATTTGGTTTCTTCATTTTCCCCTTGATGTCAAAGTGGAGGATATTCTCTTTACCCAAATGGAGATCAATCTTTTCTTCCTTCACATTAACAATAGCTCATGCTGTAGCTAAGAACGGCCTTCCAAGAATCAATGGGTCTTGAGCCTCCTCACCCATCTCAAGCACCACAAAGTCTGTAGGTATCTCATACCTTCCAATCTTCATAGGGAGGTCCTCTAAGATGCCCACAGGGTACTTCACTGAACGATCAGCTAACACCAGAGAGAGTCTACACTTCTTGTACTAAGTGAATCCAAGCTTCTTTGCAACAGACAAAGGCATCACGCTGACACTAGCTCCCAAATCGCAGAGACATTTTTCAAATATCATAGGTCCAAGAGCACAAGGGAGTGTAAAGCATCCTGGATCCTCTAACTTCTTCGGAACATCAAGCCTCTGGATGATGGCATTGCACTCATGGGTGAGAGTCATCATGCCTTCCATCTCTTTCTTCTTTTCAGCTACATCATCTTTCAGGAACCTGCTGTATTGAGGGATCAACATGAAAGCATCAATGATGGGCATTGCAACCTGAGCTTCACTTATTTGCTTTTCAAACAGAGCCTTGTACTTCTCTAGCAGCTGCTTCTTGAATCTACCAGGGAATGGGAGTTTGGGTTCATAGGGGGGAGGAACAGAAGAAGTCTTACTTGCTGGAGCAGCAACTTCACCATTTTTTACTGTTTCCTTCTCTTCTCCAACCTTTCCTTTACCCTTAGCTTCAGTAATCTTTTCCAGTATCTCTTCATTGATCTTATCATCAACAATTACAACATCATCATCGAAGTTGATGGCCATCCCCTCACCTAATTTCTCAGCATCCTTGGTGAGGTGTCGAGGAGGTAACTGCTTACCACTCCTAAGGGTGATTGCTTTGGCCTCCTTGGGGTTTTGGTCAGATTTTCCAGGTTGAGATCCTTGTTGGCGATTCTGGTGAGTGCTCATGGAAGCAAACTGATTCTTTAAATTCTTGACTGTAGTAGCAAGGTATGAGAATTTGTTGTTGAGTTCATTGTAGCTCCCATCAATCTTGGAATGAAGGTTCTTCAACTCATAACCAACATGCTTCTCACTTCTAGTCTGAGATTCCAAGATTTGTTTCAGTAAGGCATCAGTGTTGCTCTCTTGAGGAGCAGAGGAACCGTGAGAGGGGTTTTGCTGAGGCTGATAACCACTCTGTTGGTTGTTGGGGTAGGATTTCTGTTGGTAGTTGTTGTACTGAAAGTTGGGCTCTTTTTTGTACCAGCTACTATTGTTGTTGATGAAACACAACTCTTCTTGACCTTCTAAACCCTCAACCTCATTCACTGTAGGTGGATTTTCCTGCTTGGAGTGACCAACAGATTTCAGTTGCTCTTGGGTGGCCCTTTCAGCAATGAGTAGGTCGATCTTGTCTTCCAAAGCTTTGATCTCTTTCCTTGTCTGCTTATCATCACCCCTACTGCCTCTGTCATGGTCTCCACTGTAGACTGCATCACTCTTGACCATGTTGTCAACCAGTTCCTCAGCATCTTCCTCAGACCTTCCCAAGAAGAACCCATTGCTAGCAGTATCCAATCTTGCTCTGTACTTAGGAAGAGAACCTCTGTAGAATGTACTCAGCAAGCTTTCCTTGGAGAAACCATGGTGTGGGCATTGTGCTTGATAGCTCTTGAATCTTTCCCATGCTTCGCTGAATCCTTCTAAGTTCTTTTGTTGAAAGCTTGATATCTCATTCCTCAGCTTGGCAGTTCTTGAAGAAGAGAAGAATTTCTCCAAGAATGCTTTCTTGCACTCATCCCAAGTAGTGTTAGAGTCACTAGGAAGGGACTTCTCCCACTGACGTGCCTTATCCCCTAAAGAGAAAGGGAATTACTTCAGCTTGAAGGCATCCTCGGACACACCATTGGTTTTTTACAACCCACAGTAGCTGTCAAATTTGTCCAAGTGATCAAATGGGTCTTCTACAAGCAACCCATGATACTTGTTGTTCTCAATCACGTTGAGGAGTCCTGGTTTGACCTCAATGTTGTTGGCTTCCACAGCTGGCGCACGGATTCCCAACCTATTACCATGAAGGTTTGGGCGGTCATAGGTGCCAATAGAGCGAGCTGGGCGGGCTGGGTGAGCTGGTGGGTCTTGCCCGTTGACGTTAACCAGTGGTTCCATGTCAGTATCCAACCTCTGTTGCTGAGCTTGTTGCTCTGCTTGTCTTCTCTGTCTTGCAATCTCTCTTTCAAACGCTCTGATATCTTGAACTCTTGGAACAAGGTTTGTTGTGCCCTTGCTCCTCAAGTTCATACACCTGAAATCCAAAGAGAGATGAAGATAAAGAATCAGTAACAAAATAAAAGAAAAATGACTTAGTCTCAAGCAAGTGACTAAATCTCAATGTTTCAATCTACTCAGAATTTGGCAATGGTACCAATTTGATATTAGGAGTTTTTGAGGCTCGTAAAGCAAATGTTGTAGTATAGATGATTGTCGAACCAGTTCTAAGGGATTTAAAAGCACCGAGAATACAAGTACTAGCTTAATCTAAGTGCGATCATGTGATTAATTGGTTTTTAAGGTTAACTAAAACTAAAATGCAATAAAAGATATAACTTTGACAAAGAAGATAAAGGAGAACTCATGGGTATAGGGAATTTGACCTTGGGTGATCAGGTTTCGATCTAAGGATGGCAAGCGATCAATTAAACTGTCTACCTTAGGCCTAAATACGATTCTAAACAAGCTCTATGTCTAGATGAATGTTCATTTACTACCATAACTCAAGCATCAAATGTCTTTGGTTGAATATTATGAAAGTAATCATTAGGAATGGATCTATTAGTCATCTTAACACCTTTAACAACAAGTGTCCCTGGTAAAGACTGTTAAAAGCTTAAGAGAGTTGACTCAGACATTTCATCGAACACTTTGTGAGTGGAAAATGTCTAGAGATCAACTTTTGAGTGTTCAATTGAAAAGAGTCATTATGGTTACTCTAATAAGCAAAGAACAAGAGAAATCTAACACTAAAACATCCTAAATCTAACCTAATCATCCTTAATCTCCCTAACCCATGATTTCAAAAGGTGATTACTCACTAATCTCCATGATTCCTCTTAAACCCATATTGGATTTCAGATTAATCATGCAGAGAAATAGATAAGAAATCAACAAGAACACAATATGAAAGCAATGAAATTTCAATCCAAAGAAGTTTTCTTCAAGAACAAAGATAGATCTGCCAATCGTGGCTTACAGAGTAATTAACTTAGGTTTTTCAAATGTCAGGACATAAAACAAATGACCAAAAGGTCCAAAAAAAAAACAAGTTTTTCGTACACAAACGACACGCAACGACCTGGCCGTGTCGCTCCCAGAGGTCGCTCCAGGCGCTGGAGCGGCTTGGCCAGGTCGCTCCCAGACCTCGCTCCCAAGGCTTTTTTTCTGTGAGAACGCGAACGGCCGTCATGTGTCGCTCCGGGTGTCGCTCTGGATGCTGGAGCGACCTTCAGGTGTCGCTCTGATGTGGAGCGACCAGGGAGCCTCGCTGGGGACGTCGCTCCGGTCTCTCTTGGAGCACTACTCACTCCAAACTTCTCTTTTTAGATTTCAAACTCACCAAATCACTTCCAAGGACTCCAAGGATTGTTTCACCACCTAGTAAAGACAAATGAATGCAAAATGCAACCTAAATGTGCCTAAATTTAATCTATATGCTCAATATGAACAAGAATGCAAGGTTAAAACCAAGTAAATATGCAACACATCAACTCCCCCAAACTTGTCCTTTACTTGTCCTCAAGTGAATTTTCAAGGATTTATGGAAAGAGAGGTTTGAAGGTGGAAACTCATAACCAAAAGAAACACATCTAAGAACTCAACTTAACATCCTAAAGAGACATTCCAAGTAGCATGAACACACTCTCTTATCACACTCTAGCTTCTCTAGGCCTATCAACACACTCTTATGCCTTTAAACAAGATACAATACTCTTCAATTTACAAGTCTTTAAACCAGCCTCACATTAGTTCACACACACACACAAAGTGAAGTCTCACAAATGGGCACATGATCTCAATCATTTGGCTAGGCAAGCAATATGTCTAATGAGAATAAAAAGGAGGGTTCAGATGCATCATTTTTAGTGACTTTCACTCAAGATCAAGGAGCTTAATCATTATGCAAAATTTATCTAAGACTAGAAGCAACTGATGCATACATAGCCTTGTTCTAGTCATTCTACCATTCTCCTAAGTGATCACAATTTTTAACCATTTTTTTCTTCATCTCATACCCCAAATAACCCTTACTCACATCACTCACCCAATGAACAAGTTCTTCTCTTCTTTTATTTTTTTATTTTAGCACAACCAACTAGGGACTCATCACAAGCTTTCTACTTTCTAACTCCAACTCTTCTTCTTTACACATCTCCTCCCCCAAACTTATTTCTTTATTATTTTTTTTTTTTTATGGGAAAGGTTTCTTAATACACAATCTAAAGCTTCTTTCTCTTTCTTTTAGTCTTCAATGGCTTTTTTCTTTTCTCAAGACACACTTTGTTTAAACTTTTTCATGATCTCTCATTCAAAACCCAATAGTTCTTATTGCTAGCTTATTTCACAAACACGACATTGTTTGTAATACACGTCATTACATACTCCAACGTACCACAATTAGACCGGTGTAGTTACACTGGTTTTGAATTGAGACCGAAACCAAGAGGGAACAATGGGTCATACGAATTGGCACGAGCGTTTAACGGCAAATGCTCAACGGTTTTGAACCAGCTCACTGGTAACTTCCCCTCAAAGTCATAATCACCAAAAATGACGTCAGCCATTCCTTGCCCTTCAGTTCCAGGCAGCCAAGCAGCTACTAGAGCCTCCGTCTTTTCAAGAACCCTCGGCTCCAAAACCACAGGTCGTCCTGAGATCAACATCACCAGAGTTGGGATTCTCTCTGCCACCATGGTTACAATGTCGCTACCGTTAAACGGTATTATGAGTTCCGCGTTGTCACCGACACTCTCTGCATAGGGAGATTCTCCCACTGCAACGATGGCGTAAGAAAATCCTTCACTCGAAGCCAATGTTTCCTTCGATGGAGTTTTCTCGTAGATCACTTCGGTTTTTTCTCCAACTGCTGCTTTTATGGCATCCAAAAGCGTGGTGCCTACATTTCAGACAAAGATAGTTAACTTTCCGACAGCATTTTCTACCCGAATATAATCTCATTCAAAACCATAGAGTTAGATTTAATTATTTACCGATTGTGATCCTGCCACTTTGACCAAACCATGTCTTTGTCCATCCTCCACACTGATACCCAAGATCATCTGCATGCGTTCCAGTGACTAGAATTCTCTTGGCGTTGCGATCTAGTGGTAGGAACGGTTTATCAGCATGCTTCCCATTCTTTAGCAACACTAACGACTTTCTAACTGCTTCACGCCCAAGTTCTCTATGCTCCTGCATTCACGGAAACAGAGTCAACAATCAGCTCATACTTCTGTACTGAATACGAGACACCTCACCTTGCAGCCAACAGTTCCCAACAAAGATCTGTCTGACAAAGGATGTTCAAAGAGACCAGCTACAAACTTCACTCTTAGTATTCTTTCAACAGCGTCATTGACCCGATCCATTGATATATCCCCTGACTCTACCAGGTCTGTCATGTCTTGTATGAACATTTTGTACTTAAAAGGTACCATCACCTGCAATAACATTGATTCTATAATGGTGAAAATCAATTGCGAAGATGAAATATTTTGCATATGGGTTTCAAAACTCTTACCATGTCAATGCCAGCATTAACCGCAGTTTTAACGCAGTTGCGGTAGTTTGATCCTCTAGGCTCACTAAGCCGGTCCAAACCTTCCCAGTCTGAAACTATAAATCCCTGGAAAGGTTAACAAAGTACCTAACCTTAGCACCAAAATTTAAACTTATTTAGATTTTGCAATAGTCACAGTCAAGAAAAAGAGTTACACGAACCTTGAAACCGAGTTTTTCCTTGAGAACTTCAGTTAAGAGGAAGTAATTGGAGTGAAGGTTACTCCCGTTCCAGCTGGAGTAAGATGCCATAACCGTGGAAACTCCCTGAGCAAGACACTTCAAATATGGAGAAATATGTATCTTCTCCAAGTCTTCATATGATGCGATGGTGTTCCCTTCGTTTACGCCCTTGTCGGTACCACCATCTCCAGCAAAGTGTTTGGCGCATGCAACGACGTTGTTGCTATCACCCAATAAAAGATCCCATGAGAGGATGTCAACAAGACCATTAAAAAGACTCTAAATCAGGAGATAGTGTTTTGATTGATACCTTCCAGTGACAAAAGGGTAACCATTTGGGTGTTCTTCGGGTGGTTCGCCTTGTAGTCCTGAGACCAGCGAACTCATCTCAGAGACAAGTCCAGGGTCTTCTCCATAACACTCATAGCTTCGTCCCCATCTCGGATCTCCCAACACCTATAAGAAAGACCAAAGGACAAATTTTCTTTCAATATATTTCTTAAATAATTTTCTTTTTCTTTTATTTATTAAATGATTATTGTTGAATAAATACTAAAAGCAGACTCACGGCCACGCAGGGAGCAAACGCCCAGTGAACTCCGCTCGCCCTTACTTCAAGTGCCGTTGCAGCTCCAATTCTTCTGACCAAATCCGCTTCTCTACAGAGTTACCACAAGAACTTTAACCACATTAATAGCAGTCAAAGACAGCATGGCTACAAGTAGATGTACCGAACTTTAGCACAAAACAGGTAAGTAGGTTCGGTCCTTTCTCAAAAAAAAAGAAAAAGAAGAAAAAGAAGGTTCGGTTGAATCCAGTCCACAAGACAAGTTTCATCAAAAAGACAAAAACAGACAGATCAATTTAAAAGTAAGACCTACACTTCCAGCACATGCAATTCTCTCTCTCAGTTTCTACTCTTCAAAGTGAAAGACAAAAAAGAAACCTGGTGGCTCCGAGGCCGATGTTGTGGGGGAAAACGGTGGCGCCGTAGACATTGTTATTGCCGTGAACAGCGTCTGTGCCGTAGATCATGGGAATTCCCAAACGCGACGCTAACGCTGATCGCTGAAAGCCATCGATCATATCTGCCCAATCCGACGACTTAGCGTCCTCAAACGGCGCACTCCCTCCGGAGTTCAGTACACTGCCTGTAATTCAAATGAAAAATAAACATTACTAAATATAGTAAGTCAGAAAGAGAATGACAAATTATGTTTTCCCATAATCGGAGGAACAAATATACAAAATCCATTTTCAAATTAATTTTGATTTCAAATTTCAAGTACAATCCAAAGTACAAAGTTTTTTTTTCTTTTTCTTGTGAAAGAATCCAAAGTACAAAGTTTCAGAGAGGAAGATATAAGATGATGTATGGTTTGTGTGTACCGATGAAGAAATCTCTAAAGGCGACTGGAGAAGCGACTCTACGTTCGATCTGAGTCATCTGGCCGATCTTCTCCGCGAGAGTCATGCGAGATATAAGGTCCTTCACACGCGCCTCCACTGGCGCGTCTGGATTCTGGTAAACGCATGGTTCTTCCTTTCCGACCATATTCTCTCTTACCCTGTTCTTGTTATCACAAGTGATGCTACTTCTTCTTCTTTTATCTTACCTAGAAAGCCCAGTGGAGACGTGGCAGCAATGATTCCGACTTCCCACCCGAATGCTTATTTAATTGGTTTAAACGAATTTTTGTACCCATTTGACTAACTTTGTTTTTTTTTTTTAAGAGTAATTGGACTGTATAATAAGAAAAAAGCATAATTGGATAAATAACCAAAGACCATATTTTTTCTATATATACATCCCACTTTATGTAATAATGCTGTTTTAGACCCTATTTTTTCAATACATACATTCCACTTTAAGTAATAATGCTGTTTTATCCCCAAAATCAACGGGTGCAACTTGTTGTAAAGAAAAAAAATTATTAATTACTTGTAAATAACTCGTGGCGTTTTGTAGAACCACATCATCTATTTCTTTATAGGTTTATACTATTTATGCATATAGAATAGAAATTTAAATTTTTTGTTACTATGCTATTTAATATATACTACACTATCTATTTTGTTTTATTCTATTTGGGTTTAAGGTTTATATTTGGTTTTAAAGTTTAGTGATTATGAATTAAAAGTTAGTATTTGGAAGGTGGGATTGAGGTTTGGATTTACTGACCCTATCATGTATCGTTCTATTTGATGATTAATAAAAAAATGTTCTACTTTACTCACCAATATGTGCTATTCTATGCATTTTGTTCCACTGTATTTGGATTTATGGTCTATATTTGGGTTTAGGGTCTAGTGATAACGATTTAAGGTTTAGTATTTGGAAGGTGGGGGTTAGATTTTGGGTTTATTGATCCTATCATGTATCGTTCCTTTTTGTGATTAATAAAAAATGTTATATTTTGCTCTCCAATATGTACTATTCTCTGTAGATAGTTTTTTTTTATGTGCAATTGTTTTCAGATGCTTTTGACCCTTCAGTCCTTGTGGGGTTCATAATCCTAACACATATTCCCTATGCTATAATATACTCCATGATATTTAATTTTTAAAATGTTTTGCAAGTTATGTAGGTAAAAATTACAATTATTTAGCCATTATATTTGCAAGTTAATTAACTATTATTTTTGGTAAAAGATATAACTATATAACTATTTTTACATTTCTTAAACTGTTTATTGGATGGTGTTTTAGTAAAATAATAAAAAAATAAAAGATATCTAACTTACATATTTTCTTATGTTTTACTTTTAAAATATATAATTTTCTCATTTCTTAAATCCTCTATAAAATAATTGAGGAGCATTACAACATGTATTAGTAGTCACGTATCATCATGAGAATACTTCTCATATTTACTAGAGAAAAAATGTTGGTTTATATAAATATAAAATATAATTTTTATTAAATTAAGCATAAAAGTATTATTAATTCTTTTCATTATTTCCTTAAATAAAATTTACAGAATTACCTAATATGGTTATAGTATATATATATATGAAAATTAATGATTGAAATAAAAAGATTTGACAAAAAATGTATATAGCCTCTACTCTTTTTGTAAATTTATATTGTGAAAATAAATTAAACATAACATTAAATATATAACAAAAAAATTTAGATTTTTCGTATATGTTATATTTTGAATTTTAAAAAAAAACTATAAATTAATAAAATATTTAAAAGTTTCACATATAATATTTTTGATTAATAGTTTAATTTTTTTTTTGTTATAGCACGATACACACAATTATAAAATTAATGAGTACGAAATATCATTTGATAGATATTCAAATTAGATGTATATATATTGATGTCTAAATTAAACTATATACGATTTAAAATACATAACTATTTTAATTCCAAAATTGCATTAAACAAGTATTCAGAACTTAATAATTTAATGACAAATTTTGAATTTAATTTTTTTAAACGAAGATGAATTATTGTAAATATTAAATTTCTCACACTAAAAATTATGTTATCAATGGTTTAAAATTTTGTTATTAAAATATAAAATTGATTATAAAATCATGTAAATATGAAACTTCATTTATTAGATAGCCAAAATAAAAGTAATATATATATATATATTAATATCATTTATTAATTAAATTTACTTATAGTAAGTGATTATAAATAAACAAATATGATTGTTTTATTTAAGTGCTAGTGCTAAATTAATTGTATATATAATAGTTACAGATTTCTCAATTATTCATTATATATGTATATATATATATATTATTTTATAATATATAAAAGAACAAAAAAATAAAGAATAACACGTAAAATAATCCCGTATATATTAATCCTGGAGCATTATAATTTTTTTTGGTAGCCACGTGTCACAATGAGAATGATTTTCAGAACTCTTAGAGAAATATCTTGGTCCAACTAAACATATGTTATATTTTTTTAATAAACTAATTATCATTTTTAATTAGTAGTGTACAAAAGAATATTCTCTATTCTTTCCTTAAATAAAATTTACGGAATTACCTAATATGATTAACATATATATCACAATTAATGATTATGAATAATAAAGATTTGATAACAATTTTTTATCTTCTTTACTTTTTATTGAATTTTATATTATTAAACAAAATTAACAATTGCATTAATAATATAATTAAAAAATTATATTTTTTCTTATATGTTATATTTTGATTTTTCTAAAACAAACATTAATTACTAAAAATGGTAAAAATCTCACATTGAAAATTTTGTGATTAATGATAACGTTTTAGTTCAATCAATCGTTTTTAATGAGTCTTAAACAATTTTTAATGATTAATTATATGGATCACTTACATAATAGAGTGTATTTTGGTTTAAAATTATTGCATACCTAAAATCAATATGAACCATAATCTCTTTCGTTTAAAATTTTGTTACAATAAAAATTAAGAGTTGGGCAAAAAGACTGAATCCAAACAACCGAATCAAATTTAATCCAAAATTGGTTAGATATCCAAATGAATTCAAAATTTTGGTATCTATAAGCACATAAAATGAATCAAAATATTTCGGGTATCCGAGTGTATTCGAACCAGAATTATATACTTAAATATATTAATTATTTTAAATTTTAACATCTAAGAGTATACAAAATACATGAGATGTTTTAAAATTTTCCAAAATACTTAGAAATATATGAAGTAGTTAAACGTACATTTTTAAAATAGCTAAACGATACTCCAAATACCAAAAATACTTAAAATATTTGTTGATTTTTGTCCAAATATTTAAGATAAACCAATTTTATGTTAAATTTAAGTATTTTTACATTCATTTTTCAAATTTATATGTTATATATTGTTTTATTTTATTTTTAGATCTTGAGAAATTTAAAGTATAGATGAATTTTACTTTTTAATAAAAAAATAATGGATTATTCGAATCTAAACCCAAACCTGCAAAGATTCGAACCAAACCCGCAAAGATCTAAATCAAAAAGAATATAACCGAAGCAAATGATATCCGAATGCCCATCCTTGATTAAATGTAAAAAAATATTATTGATAAAAAATATTTATTTAAATACAACATATTTTTAGAAAAGTTCACTCCGCGCATGGCGCGGGTTATAAGCAAGTATCTTATAAAATAGGATAGATAGGGTAACACGTTAAAACAATGTAGATATTTGTTGCCTACTAAATATTGGTTGAACTAAACATATCAAAGCGTTGAGAATGAGTAGAAAACCAAAGGGTTCAACCACTGAATAATCCAGGGTTCAACCACTGAATAATCCAAGAATAAAAAATAGAGCTCATCCTACCGTTTATCTCGACTATTATTTGCAAAGAGTAGTGAAGCTAAACCTTTTAACCGTATTTGCAATTAAGACCAAATCCTAGAGAAAACGATGGGTCAACAACTTGGCATCATCATTTTGTGACAACTTGCTCAACACGTTTAAATCAGCTCACGAGTAAATTGTAACTTCCCTTTGAAGTCACAATCTTCAACAATGAGACCATCCATTCCTTTTCCTTTGGTTCCAGGGAAACAAGCAGCGACCAAACCCTCCGTCTTTCAAGAGCCAACATATCAAGAACCATAAGCCATTCTGTAGTCAAAATCACTAGACTCAAGGATTTTATCTGCAACTGCGGTTACAATGTTGTTACCATTTAAAGATATTGTCAGTTCAAAGATATCGCCTCTGATCTCTGCATAGGGAGGTTCCCGACTGCAACAAAGATGTAGAAAAAGCCTTCACCTGAGGGCCCAAGCTAAGGCTTCCTTTGATGGAGTTTTCTTGTAGTTTACTTCGATTTTGTCTCTAACTACTGCTTTAATGTTAAACCAAAAAAAAAAAAAAAAAACTACTGCTTTAATGGCATGCAAAAGTGTTATGTCTACATTTCAAAATAAAAGCATATGGAGTATATAAATTTGTATTAACCGTATGTAATTATATTTGCTTTATTTATCAAATAGATAAGGAATAAATATGATATATAAAATTATGTTTATGTACTATATGTTTTTTATATATTATGAATAATAAATATAACCAAAATAATTAAAAGTCTATAACTATTATATACATAACTAAATTGGTGCAAGCGCATAAATATTTTTTGCTAATCCAAATAATCATTTTCTATTTTATATGGCATACAATTAAATTTAGATGATATTAACATATACATATAGATTATATTTTTAATATTGATATCTATTAAATGATGTTTTCAGTTTATATAGTTTTTTTTTTATCATTTGTATCTTTTTCTAACAAAAACTTTAAATCACTTATAACAAAACTTTCATTGTGGAATGTTTAACAGTTTAAGTAATTTATATTTTTCAAGAAAACATCAATGCATAATTTAAAATTTAAAAATTTCAATTTCAATATTTGTTCGAAGATTTTATCAAAGAAAAAATTTGTTCAAAACAAATTTTGATATTAAAAGATATTAATTTTATATGGTTTATAGTTTAGTTTAAACGATGTATATATATGTATATTATTTTTTAATCTTAATATTTATTAAATTTTATTTCCTATTTATATGATTTTGTAATTATTTGTACTTCTTGTAAGAAAAAAATTAAATCATGGATCACAAAATTTTAAATCTGAGACTTTTACAGTTTTAGTAATTTATGATCGTTTTTAAAAATTCGAAATATAACATATACGAAAAAATCTAAAATTTTAATATATGATTAATGTGATTGTTTAAATTATTTTAATATTTTAAAATTAAACAAAAATGATAGAGGGTAAACTAATTTTTTCAAATCTTGATTATTCAAAATCATTAATTTTCATATATATTTTAGTCACTTTAAGCAATTCTGTAATTTTTATTTAAGGAAATAATGAATAATATTAATAATTAATTTATGGTTAGCTTAATAAAAACTTTATTATACATTTATATGGACCAACCTATTTTGTAAAGATTTTAAGAAGCATTATGGTGATGACACATGGCTACTTCAAATGTTGTAATGTTTCTCAAATAATATATAGGAGATTTGTATCATTCTCTCTAGAATCATTGTTATAATTCTCATTGTAACTCTTGGGTGTTTCTTCTATACTCTTAGTTAGTAAGTTGGATTTGTGTTTCCCAATTTTTTTTTTTTTTGTCGAAGATGTTTCCCGTAATATTTGATCCATTATATCAATCTAAACGAGAAAAATGTCATTAAAACATTGAACTTTCAAATTAAAGTCAATAAAATCTCTAACTCACGTTTGAGTCAAAAAATATTTTAATTTTCAAATATTGTCTATTTTAACTCTTATATTTTATTGATTCGGCCACTTAAGAAATCTGAATAGTCAACTATTAAATTTGATTAAAACATAGACGTATGTAACTCTTTTAACGAAGTTATTTCAAAAAACTGATTAAATATTAACTAAACAATGTCGTTTTACTTTTAAAAACACTTAAAACATCTTTTTCGAGAGCCAGAACACCAAATTGATTTTATCTTCCTCATTTTCGAGTGAAGAAGATATAGTCGATTTGAAACTCTGATTTCGCGAAAAATGCTTTAATTGTTTAAAAAAGTAAAACTACGTCGTTTAACTATTTAATAAAAAAGAATATCGTTTAAAAAATAAACAGTCATCTACTTTTATAATCGAGTTTATAGTTGACTATTTAGATTTATTAAATAGTATAGTCAACAAAATATAAGAATTAAATAGACAACATTTGAAAACTGAATTTTTTTTGGTTCAAACATGAATTAGAAGTATTATTGGCTTTAATTTAAAAATTCGAGGTTTTAATTATATTTTTTTTAACGCTGGGTTGTATTATTAGGTCATTTATGCAAATAATTTTACAAAATGAGAATTGACAAAAACAATATAGAAAAGGGATACACTAGAAGGGATTCAAAAACTAACACATCTATTAGCGTATGGATGACTAAAAATTTTCACGTGAAAGCTCCATATTTGCTTTGCCCATAAAAAAAAAAATCTCCATATTTGCTTCTGAAATAGTTGAATCTCAGAGGAGATAATCTTCATATTAATCCAGAAACACCACGATTCAGACTTAGTTGAGAACGATTGCTACTCTCTTTTTATTACTCCAGTAGGAGCTAACGAGAGAAGACAACTCTTTATATTGCTCTATTGATAATAACAGAGCCGAAGAGATTACCGTTTCATAGAATTTCATGTTGTCTTTCGAAATAACCATAGTTTACAGCAAAAAATCCATCACTGTCAAGTGAAGAACCATCAGCGATTGAAGCCGGTAAGACCCGTCGCCACTATCCGCAGTAGATCTGTCAATTACCTTTTCTAAACGATTCAATTGAACCCAAATTTTTTTTCCGTTCCACATCCATTGGAAAAACCAAACAAAAGAACAATCCAAAATTTTGCCAGATTCAAAATAAATTGATAATCAAACAAATTAGAAGACCATAAAGAAAACAAATAAAAAAAATAGAAGTAAGAAAAATTAAATCAGCCGATGTGGGAACTATAGAGTTTCTGGCTATCGGCTTGAAACTAAAAAATCTCTCTTTTTTTCTCTCTTAACGGCTAGGGTTTTTGATATATTGTGGTCACTACGATTAGTATTGAGTTTATTCTCCTTTAGATTTCTTCATATTCAGTATGCTTTTTTCCTGTTTTCATGACGAGGTTTTAATTATAAACGAAAGGTTTTACATCAACTAAATTATCAAAAGAATTCAATCTCTAACGAATCATCGTTTCTGTAAGAATCGACATTAAGGCAAGATTTAAAAATCGTCACATGTGGACTCCAGGCTCCAATGTCAAGCATAGGGCTTCGACTGAACGAAACAATTTTTATTTATTTCGAGCAACAAGCAAAGCGTATTTTAGTAGATCTTATTAACAATTATAAAGCCCTATGCGTCTTAGTAGACCAGAGATTTTATTTATTTATTCAGAAGTGTCCTAACTTCTCCACAAGCTTCTTCTCTATTTCCATCCTCTTCTTCATCAACAAACCGTAGTTTGAAGCCACATTAGCGTCTCCAGCTTTTACCTTGAGCTTGCAATTTAGAGAAGTCTTCTCCAATTTCCCCTCGTAGAGACACGAGATGGGCACAAAGGTTCCTTTTTTGTTGCAGAGCCAGCCATGAGCAGCTCTCAGTGCAGCTCCAAGTGATGCTGAATCTGTGCACAAAAACACACACAAGTTTCCAATGATCAGCGAGTAAGCAAGGAAGATGCAACTTGTTCGTATGTAACAAGTATTACCAGGCCTTTGGACAGTATATACATCACATCCGAAGATTGCCGAGATCAGATTCAGAATATTCTCGTTAGCTGAAGCACCTCCTGTGGCAATAATTCGGATTGGAGGGGAAGGCATACCAAATCTCTCAGCATGAGCTCGCTTTGAAAGAAACTGGCCTTCAATCAATGCCCTAACCTGACATTGTTGGATAGAATCAAACAAATGTAAATGCCTCATGAGTTCTTCACAGAAGAGTGTGTGCACTTGCTTTACCTCTGAGGGAGGGTCGAACTCTTTGACCTCTCGTTCCTTTACACCCTCAAGAGACTCACCAGAGAAGTTATCGAGAACGTAGCGATGAGAGCCAACTATGCATTGGGAAATATATTAGTAAAACAAGCTTATAGCGTGTGGCATGGATTGGGTAATAACTCACCGGGAAGTGGGGGAAGGATTTCATTTTCAGTGTAGTAAAAGCCGAGTTTCCCATCTAATAAAAATCCAGTTGTGTATTAAAAACAAAAGAATATTAAAATAGAAACATGAAGGATTATGGAATGTAAACGTACCATTTAGTGGCTGTGTTTGTTCCAAATACTTGTTAAAAACATCCCAAGATCCATTAGCGCAACGGTCACGAATTTCTGAAACGGAAAGTCACATACTATTCTGAATTATGTTTCTGAGAATCAAAACTAAGGCCTAGTAACAGATAAGAGTGGGAGTTTGCAGTAATGACTCTACCTTCACGGGTGAGAGAAGCATTTTTGTAAACTAACATTACCATGTAACTCCCGGGATCCACGGGATTAGGAAACACATGGCCCTCAAGACTCGGTTGATGCTCTTTGGTAATCCCAAATACCTGTATTCGACATGTAAAAATGGTAAGGACACAAGTCTGTTTCTGGAACAACAAGAAAGCTCAACAGGAATCAAGAGCCTTGCCGTGTCACTGGTCCCAAGACTTATCGCAAGATCTCCAGGAGTACTAAGAGTTAGACCTGCACAACATGGTATAACCTCACATTCCATATAACAAAACACACAAAAAATAATCCAATTGTTGCAGATGCTACTCAACGCTTATGTTGTTGAATCTGTACCTGCCAAACTATTAGGATTGTCTCCCGACCACTGCACAACCACACAGTTCTTTTCAAAACCGTATCTGCAACAAAAACAACAAAAACATTTATGAATCTTACATATAAATTCCAGTTGAGAAGACAGAAGCATGAGAGATACTAACCTGTGAACAAAATACTGAGAAATGGAACCAGCAGTAGCATAAGCTGGTGCCAACTTTCCAAGCTTTTCCTCCAAACCCGTAGCTGTAGCCTACAAAACAAAAACAAAAAGCATATTAAGAAACATCCATTTTTATGAGTCTAAAAAAAAAAAGAAAAAAAAATCAAAACAAAACCTCCAAGGCTTCCTTAGACCAACAACGTTTCTTAATATCCATCAAATTCATCCCAGCGCCATCAGTCTCATCAATGGAAGCATAATCTCCAATCAACAAAGACGCCATAAACGAGCTAACAAGCGAAATCCTCTCAGTCCTCTCATACAAATCACCCTCAGTACTAAAAAGCTTCCTAATCTGAGGACCAGTGTAGCGCTCATAAGCACGTGAGCCAGTGATCTCAGACAACACCATACCCCCTCCCACAGCATTCTCAATCTCTCTGCACTGCACAGTGGTGCTGCTATCCATCCAAATCGGAGATTCCTTGAAAGAGAAAGCGTTCTGGAGCTGATCTTTTAAGGATTTGTTGGGATCCAAAGATGTTAAAATCTGGGAGCTTCCCTTTTGCCAGTAGACGCTGCCGTGCTGCTGGCCGCTTCCGGAGACGGCGATGACTTTCTTGAAATCGAAATTGGCTGAGGAGAGTTTGTGGAGGATGAGATCGAGTGCCTCCACCCACATGATGGTAGGGGAGACGATTCTGCCGTTGACGGTGGGGTCTCTGTAAACGCCATCTTTGGTTTTGTAGTGAGGAAGTTCGGAATCGAAGTGAACGAGTTCGGTCGTGACGATGTTGAGGGATGAGTCCAACACTGTTGCTTTCAAGGACCTAATAACAAGAATATCAGATTAATTCGAAACCAAAAGAAAATATTAAAATTACAATTCGGAAGGGGACATTACTGGGTAGAGCTGTCGAATCCGAGGAAGAGAGAATCTGGAGGAAGAGAGAGATCAGCCATAGTTGTCGTTGATCCAATCCAAGTCTGATGAGGTGTGTCCTTTTTATAAGAAGAGTGGAATTTGGATAAGAGCGGAGGTAATTATGATCAGATAGGAATAGGATCATTACGAGTTTAGGCTTTAACTAATTCTCGTAATTCAAATGTTTTTTTCCTAAATGTTATGGTTTTGTTTACGGTCAAATACTCAATCTCACGGAGTTGGTAACAAAGATTTCAAATCATATATGATCAAATCTATTTCTTCCTTATATATATATATATATATATTTTCAATATCATTTTCAAACAAATATCTATGAACAATTTTATAGAAAAATTGCGCCCAATCTTCTAATTGTTGTGAAAGTATAGAGAATTCAAGATGTGTTATTGCATAAATATAAAGTATTCTTATATAAAAAGTTATAAGTTCCCATAAAAAGAAAAATCGTAAACCATCTCGAAAAATGAAATAGTAGAAAACCTCATACAACAACAAATAGGAAAAACACCAAATTTTAATCCTAAAGAACCAGCCGACTATAAACTTCATAGACGGGTCGGTTATGATAATCCACTATTTGGTACAAACACTCTCCTTTGGATGTAGAGATGTCAAATGGGCAGCCTGTGTCGAGATCAATATGGTCTTAAATGGACAAATTCATATTGAACCATAATTAAATTTTGACCAAATGGACGAACCTAATTATATTCATGATAAAAGTTGGGTTTAACCATTTGGACAATGAGCGGCCCAATAAATTTATATGTCTAGGGTTAAGCAAATTTGGGAAAAACCGGATTTCATTTTTTTTTTCTCGTCTTCTTCTCCCGACTTCTGCGAGGCTGCGATTCTTCTTCTCCTTCTTCGAATTTTCTTCGCCTTCTTCAATTCTTCTTTGCTTTCTTCTGATTTCGTCATCACTGAAGGTTTGATTCGTTATCTTTGAATTGTTTATGTGTGATTTGTGTTATGGGTTTTCATTATTAGCTATTGATTCGATGGATCTGTAGTTTGTGTTATGTGTTAGATACTCAGATGGATCGGCGAAAGGGAAAAAAAGAGAGAGAAGATCTTAGCTATAGACGGAAGCTGTCACAGATTTGCTATAGTAAGCTCTCTCTCTCTCTATCTCTCTCTCTCTCTCTAACCTTTTTCATGAATTGTTTGATTTCTGAATCTCTGATAGATTCTTTTTTTAATAATTCAAAGGTTGTTGCTCGTTTCACTATTGTTTCTCTGATGCAATCAATCTTTTTCCAATCAGGTTATATGGGTTCCTGGTAGCTTTGAGATAGGTGTTGTTGCGCAGAAGCTTGGGAAATCTGGAAACTTTCATGCTGTTTTATGTATTGGTGATGTGGTACGTATGACTCTTTCTTGAAATGACTTCTTCACGCTTATGATTTGAGTCATGATTAGTCATTGTTTCATATCGCTGTGTGATTTGTGTTTCTTTATATGTGATTTCATGTTATGGGTTTTCGCTATTAGATGTTGATTCATGTCTTATGTGTTAGATAGGTTATTGAATCACGAGAGCTCAATCCAAGGTCACGGTTCACTACTCACGAGGAATCGATCTAGCCACGACTCACGAATAAGGTATGTGTCTGCTTCTCCTTTGAGTTTTAGTGTCTTCAAGAAGTAAGTCATTACCTGATTGTTCAAGATAGATTGTCAGTGATCGGATATGGTGTAAGTTGTCAATTAATAGTCACTTGTTTTACTCGTTGGTTTGCTATTAATCACTTTTTTAATTTTTATATCGCAGGGGTTTTATGCATTCATTACTCAAAGTGCAAGAGAAGGGAAATCAGCTTTAGATGTCTACTTGGCTGAACCGGCCATGGATATGTTTGCCTTTCCGAAACTAGATGTTTTAAAATACTGGGAAACAATAAATCCCGGTTTATGGAGTTGTCTCGTATGGCGTTTGATGTGCTTTGTATTCCCATTACAACTGTATCTTCAGAGTCGTCTTTTAGTGCTGGAAGCCGGGTCCTTACCAAGTACAGGAGCAGACTACTACCAACCAATGTACAAGCTCTCATTTGTACAAGAAACTGGCTGTGCGGGTTCGAACCAATGAGTAAGTCCTCTTTGCTTGTTTCTAGATTCTATGAGTTTGTTATTTTTATGAGTTGATCATGTAGATTCTTCCATTGATATCTTCCATTGAGTTATTTAGTTGTGGATTTCCTTTATCAGATTCGGATCCATGTGATTAGAGTATGCATTGCTTTCAGGAACCTATTTTTTAATATATGCATTGCTTTCAGGAACCTATTTGATCTAAAAGAGTATGTGTGTGTCGGTATATTTTTAATATATGCATTGTTTTCAGAATTGTTTGATCTTTTAGAGCGTGTGTATGTGTTTATGTACATATAAACTCCAAAGGCTAATGCTTTCCTAGATAAGAATAATGTTTTGTACCTCACTGAAGGTCTTTAAGTCGACACATTCCTATTTGATACGTGAGCTTCTTGAATGTTGAGGTTGGAAGTGACTTGGTGAATAGGTCTGCTGAGTTGTCATTTGAACGGACTTGTAGTACTTGGACCTTGCCGGCTTTCTGTAAATCGTGGGTAAAGTAGAACTTTGGCAAGATGTGCTTCGTCCTATCTCCTTTGATGTAGCCGTCCTTAAGCTGAGCAATACAAGCTGCATTGTCCTCGATGGTTGGTTCTTCTTTGCCTTCGGTCATCCCACAATCTCTTCTAATATGTTGGGCATGGACCGCAACCAGACTAACTCACGGCTGGCCTCATGGATGGCCAATATCTCAGCATGATTGGATGATGTGCCCACCATTTTTTGTTTCATGGACCGCCAAGCTACAGAAGTCCCACCGTGGATAAAAACATAGCCTATCTGAGATCGAGTATTGTGTGGATCTGAGTTAAAACCTGCATCAACAAAACCAATTAACCCTTCTTTGGTTTGGTTAGTATAATATAGACTCAAGTCATTCGTCCCTTGTAGGTAACGGAGAATATGTTTAATCCCGCTCCAATGCCTTTGGGTCGGACATGAACTAAACTTAGATAATAAGTTCACTGGAAAACATATGTCCAGCCTGGCATGGCTCGCCAAATACATTAAGGCTCCTATTGCAATGAGGTACGGCACTTCGGGCGAGGAACTCTTCATCGTTCTTCTTAGGACCAAATGGGTCCGTATCCAGACCAAGAGATCTCACGACCATGGGGCTTAACAATGGGTGAGATTGGTTCATATTAAATCATTTGAGCACTTTCTTTGTATATGTCTTTCAATGCACAAGGATTCCACCCTTAAGGTGTTCAATCTGTAATCCCAAACAAAATTTTGTTTTACCTAAATCTTTCATCTCAAACTCTTTCTTAAGGTATTCAACCATTTGGGAAATTTCTCCAGAGGTTCCTAGGATATTCAGGTCATCAACATACACTGATATGATTACAAAGCCTTTGTCAAATTTCTTTATGAATATGAATGGGCTGATTGGATCATTCTTATATCCCTCTTTCACTAAGTACTCGCTTAGTCTATTGTACCACATTCGACCTGATTGTTTCAATCCATAAAGTGACTTATTCAACTCTATACAATGTTGTTCTCGAGAACTTGCTTTGTCTTTCAGCTAAATATCCTCTGATACTTTCATATATATCTTATTATCCAGTGGACCATATAAGTATGAAGTTACTACATCCATTAACCGCAGGTCTAAATTCTCTCTTATGGTCAGACTTATTAGGAATCTAAAAGTAGTAGCATCCTTCACTGGGGAGTATGTCTCCTTATAATTTACTGGTCTCTGTGAGAATCCTTGTACAATTAGCTGTGCCTTATATCTCAGGACTTCACCATGTTCATTTCCTTTCCTCACAAAGACCCATTTATGTCCAACTGGTTTAACATCAAGAGGTGTCTGAATTATTGGACCAAAAACTTTCCTTTTATTTAAAGAATTTTAACTCCACGTTTATAGCTTCTTTCCATTTGATCCAATCTGATTGTTGAGTGCACTCATAAATAGACGTGGGTTCATGACCCTCATTCATGTCCATAATTCCAAGTGCTACATTGCATGTAAATATATCATCAATGTCGAGATTCTTTTTGTTCCATAGTATTCCAGATATGACATAGTTGATTGAGATCTCATTATTATCAGGACCATTAGTACCTTGACGCTTGGCATCCCAAGCCCCATTTTTTGGCACTTAGGTTCGACCGGCCCATTAGGTTTGGCCGGTTCGTCCATGTCTAGGGTTCCCTCAGCCACGGGTCATTAACACCTTTCTATAGTTTCTGAGGGTTCTTATCTTTGGAACCTATTGGTCTACCACGTTTCAAACATGATCTAGACTCTATAGAAACATGACCATGTTCTTCTTGGACATCAATACGAATTGGTGCATTCAGAGCTGGTATATATGCTTTTGTTACTCTATTCGGGTCAGCAAAGGAATCTGGCAATTGATTAGCTAGCTTTTGTAAGTGTATTATCTTTTGGACTTCTAAATCACACTCTTGAGTCTGAGGATCTTGCCAAGACAAAGATGGTTGAGACCATGAAATTTCGTTTACTTTTACCAGCTTATTATCTCCCCCTAATGTTGGATAGTCAGATTCATCAAAGTGACAATCCGCGTACCTGGCCTTAAACAAATCGTCCGTGGTTGGCTCAAGGTACTTAATTATGGTGGGAGAGTTATATCCAACATATATCCCCATCCTCCTTTGAGGTCCCATCTTAGTTCTTTGTGGTGGAGCTATTGGTACATAGGCGGCACAACCAAATGTTTTAAGATGGGATATGTCTGGCTCTTGACCCATAAGCAATTGGGACAGATAATATCTATGCTCACTAGATGGCCTGATGCGAATTAGTTCGGCTGCATGTAAAACTGCATGTCCCCAAGCCTAGAACGAGAGTTTTGATCTCATAAGTAATGGTCTAGTAATTAGCTGTATGCGTTTAATGAAGGATTCAGCCAAGCCAGTTTGTGTATGTACATGTGCCACAGAATTTTCTACACTTACCACCATGGACATACAATAATCATTAAGCGCTTGGGACGTGAATTCACCAGCATT